TGAAGCTGGAAAAACCACAGGACTCACTTTTTTTCCAAAATAGTGGGGATTTTTGCTGAAGCAGAGCTTGATAAGTTAATGGCAGTGGCTCTCAATAAAAGGAAACTGGGCTCTGAATGCACAGGTTCCTTCTGCTCCTGCATTCCAAAATCTTAGCAACTGCATATGTCTTGTGTCTTTTCAGTTTATACCTCCGTCTCCACTGTTTACATATCCAAGATGATATTTGCACATAAAACAGTTACTTGGCTACCTAAGGCTTTCTAGTAAGCGCCCTATTGAGACTAGCCTGTGTCTGGAGTTCTTACTCATCCAGTATCCATCCAGCGTTGTGCAAGACTCCTGGTTTTCTAAGATGCTCTTATCCTCCCCACAATGGAGAGGATGCTAGGTGTCCTTTGCCCCCTCAGCAGCTTTTGTTTATTTATTTAAAGTAAGCAACTTTTAATAATGGTGTATTTTAATTAAATAGATTGGATGTAATGCGGTTAGCTGGGCTCCTGCTGTTGTACCAGGAAGCCTTATAGAACAGCCATCTGGTCAGAAACCAAACTACATCAAAAGGTTTGCATCTGGTGGCTGTGACAACCTTGTCAAGATCTGGAAGTAAGTGCTCTATTATTAATATAACTTAAGAACTTATAAAACCTGATACCCTTCGTAGCCTTTGAATGTCCCTCTGAGTATCTCGGGTAATATTTTTGGCATCTCTGTGCTTTCATCTTTGAATTACCATTCTAGAGAAGTGCTTTAAAAATGGAAGTAACTTAGTGGTGTGCAATCTCCCATGTGGTTATAGCAACTTGCGTCAGCCCTGCTTCGTCTTATCTTGGAAAGTGGCTTTCTTAATTGTTTTTGATTACTGCTGTCACTTGGACAACAGCAGATTCCTGTACAGGAACTTAAGATCAACTGCTCTTTTTCCTTTGCTGTTTTCTGTCCCCTGGAAGGGATTTTGTCAGTTTAAGCCATAGAGCCTTTTTGAAGAAGAGTGGGGAACACTTGTGCTCTGTAATATCTGGATAAACCAGGAGTCTGAAAGCTACAAAAACAAAGCCTCCAGAACACGAGATAAGAAATACGACTGACTGCTGCTGCTCCTACCTGTCTGACTGTATACATGTGTTTTCAGGGAAGAAGATGGTCAGTGGAAAGAAGAGCAGAAGCTGGAGGCTCACAGTGACTGGGTTCGAGATGTCGCCTGGGCCCCATCCATAGGTTTGCCAACAAGCACCATTGCTAGCTGCTCGCAGGTGAGCCGCTGTTGGTGTGACAGAGGCAGGTGCTCAGTGCCCTTGCTTCCATTTACTAGAGAAAAGGGGAAGGAAGTGAAGGAGTGGTAGGGATAGGACTGCTGTAACAGGTCCTTCTGGCAATCCTTTGCTATATCAGGCTCTGTGCGTAAGAGCCTTCGATTCCTGTTCCTCCCAAACTCAGAAACCCAGCGGAAGCATTTCTGGACAGAGGCTCCATGTGTGGCTCTGTACCAGACACTTTTATTTTGAAAATCATGAGTAGGGTGGCCTCACTATGAGGAAGACCTTCAAACTTACGTTGTATTTTAATGTCTCCAGAAAACAGCTAAAAATACTGTTTTCTAATAACTGTTGTTCTTAATCAGCTCTGATGTCCTCAACCTTCATACTGACTGTAGCGTTCTTGCTCCTAATAATTCTGTAAATGCTTTTTTGTTTTGGTTTGGTTTTTTTAAATCAAGAAGACTACTCACTAAGCTGCTAAATTGCTGTCATGTGACTGGAAAGCAAAATCTCATTCTGGAAAAAAATTTCATCTGATACATACCTATTCTGGTATTTGCACGTGTGGTGGTTTCACCTCTGGGGTTCAGATCAGAGCTGTGATTTGTCGGGGTAGCTCCCACGTGTGGTCAAGGTTGTTTTTTCTGTGTTGTAAGCAGCGGTCCAACCACCTCGCTCTGCTTGCTTCTCTAGGATGGCAGAGTGTTTATCTGGACATGTGACGATGCCTCTGGAAATTCCTGGTCACCAAAGTTGCTGCACAAGTTCAATGATGTTGTCTGGCATGTGAGCTGGTCCATTACTGCAAATATTCTTGCGGTGTCTGGAGGAGACAATAAAGTGAGTACTGCTGCCTCGGCTCTTACTCCTGCATGCCCTGTTTTCAGAAGAGCTGAGCTGAGACAGGCTATGGTGACTTTTTAGTTAAGATTGTTGTAGATTCTCCTTTGCTGCAATGGTGAATTTTTTTCTTTTTATTTATCAAAAAGGTAGGAAGACTCTAACCTTTGGCAGACTACTTGCATTGCATTCTTAGTCCTTACTGGAGAGAAGGAAAGGCAGGCTTAACTTCATTTTGGGGGTACTAAGCAGAATTCACATCCTCTCCCTTTACCACTGGATAATTATTCACTATACAGCAACAAATAACTTGATATTAAACCAGTGCTGCGACACTTGACTGCTGTAGCTGTAGGCTGTCACCAAACTAGAGATGTGATGGCTGCAAGGAAATGGGACACTGAGCATGTACTGAGGCTGAAACATCTTCCTGATCTGTTTTTGAGGTGACGCTGTGGAAGGAATCAGTGGATGGACTGTGGGCGTGTATCAGCGACGTCAACAAGGGCCAAGGAGGGGTGTCTGCCGCTACGGAGGGGCAGCAGAACGAGCAGTGATGCAGGAGTGAGCGTTCCAGCTGCAACAAGCGGTCGCGCTACCTGATGCGCAGTGTTTCTTGAACCGACAAGAACTGATTTTATCTAAACTGGACACAAACGTGGGAAACAATTATCCAATTTTATGAGCACTCTGTAACTGTTGTTGGGAGGCTACAATATGTTGATAATCAACCTTAATTGACATTCCCTTAAATTTAAGGTAAAGAGCATAGCAAAGTACTGTGCCTTATACTACTCCTTGATGCTGCAGAAATTGTACCCTGCTTCTCTGGTTTGGGGATCATATTTAATTGGATGTACTGTGGTCAGACTCCAAGCACTTGAGTAGGAACAGGAGGAGGCTGTCAGGGGGGTCAGGTGTGAACTCCTTTGTGCAAGGGGACAAACACTCGGTCCCTTCAAAGGCCAGAACTTTGTTTCAGGTGGGGGGAAGGGCTGGTGAGTTTTCAGCATTAGATGACAGCATGCTTGCGAGCCCTTTGGTAATAGTGAAGTGGTGCTTAGATATTCCTGAAAATAATGTGCTTGGATATGTGAAAGTCTCTGTGCTTTCCTGAACCTGAAAAGGAGTAGTGGAATGCATATGTCTCTTGCTTTACAATGATCTCAAACTTGGTTATTTAGCCAACATCAGTAAATCAAACCATAATTTGAAGATAATTTTTTTTAGCCACACTTCTGTACTGTACCTCAGGTTTTTTTTTGTTGAGATACCAAGAGAATAAAGTCCTATTGGTTAAAGCCTAGTGTGCTGTGTTAATAGTCTTTTCACAGGGGCCTTGTCAAGGCTCTCTGCAGTCAACCCACAGTCATGTTGTCCTCTCATCCACGGTATTGGCTTTGTAATAACTGGGAAGGTGTTAGTGCACTAGTGACCAATAGTTATAGTATAAGAAAGAACAGAGTTTTGCCTTCAGTTAAATTTAAGTGCCGTTGCATTTCAGGCAAGTAGATTAGACTTGAACAAACCGCCTTTCAGCTAAAAGCTGAAGCACTCTCCCCCTCCGACAAGAGGGAAAGTACTTAAATAAAAGGTCACATTTTCCCTTTACTCTTCAGGTGCACTGAAGCAACACAAGTGAACACTTCACAGCCTTCCTCCTTCTCCAGGGTGCTGGTTCCTAGGCACACTCTGCTTTGCCATAGTCAAGGTAATACACCTGCTTTTTTAGAAAAACAAACCTCATTTGATGGTGGTTATCTATACCAGCCAAATACTATCCTAGTTGCTCTCAGAAACACAGACATGAATTACCTCTCTCTATACCAACAGGAATATGCAACATTCCAGCTCTTGTTTAAGTGCACAGGCCTTAATAAAGCAGAAGATGCTGATCCAAAGGCCAAGCTCCTGGAAGCCACAGGGGACACATCCAGGAAGAGCTTGATTCCGGGGCCAGCCCAGAACAAAGCACGGTGTGCTATGAAAATGCAAGGGGCTTCTGCTTCCTTACTGTTTCGGGTAGGATCCAGAAGCTTTGCCTGCTTTGTGCTATTGAATGTTTTTGTTAACAAGCCCTCAGATAAAAGCCAAGATAAAGATTAACTCTCTCAGATTTTCTTAACCCAGCTTTGCTGCTAGAGGGGTTTTTGACCCATCACCTCCATTTGTTTTCAGTCCCTCATCATATTTACCAACTTCCTCAGCTTTACCAATTCAGCTGATACTGGACACATTTCAGAAGTTATTTAGTTTTAATATTGGGATCATTTCCCAAATCTGATTTACAGCCTAACTGCACAGTATCTGAAATAATCAACCAGAAAGCCGCAACATGAGACCCAGAAAGAAGAAAGTTATTCCCTAGACAATTTCATTATACACAAAAATAAGCACAGCACCAGATCTATGCACTGTTCTCGCTTTTTTGTTGATTTTGTTATCTTAGGAGCAGGCCAGGTTCCCAAGGAATTTAGATACATATCAGATTGCATTTACAGGAACATCACTGCACAAAACAAACATTCCACTTGGTATATAAAGCGCTTCAGAAAGCGGCTGTTTGGTGAAGCCACAGAACTAACCAGGTAAAGTTTCACATCATTTTCAGCTTTTGCCAGTTTTCCTGTGTAATTTTTCTCCACTAACCTGTCTGTTCCAGCTACTCTATCCTAGAAGAAAACACAGTAAGAAAGAGACTCTTTGGGACAAGACATTTTTACCTTTACCATATAAAATTACATTTGCTTTATACATCCATCTTAGAAATAATTTCAGGTCATCCAAGTCAGGAGAAATATTTTCACTGGATCTGCATTCAATTAAATGCAGAGGTTGTAAAATAAATTTAATTTTTCAACTTATGTTTCCAGGTTTGCACCCTGCCTCAGGAAGATGATCATGTTTCTCAGGAGCACTCTGCTGGGAATTATTCTTTTCAGCATTCTCTGGACAGAAACTACTCTGGCTGGCTCTAGTTTTTTAAGCCCTGAATATAAAAAAATACAGGTAAAAAAATACAGAAAAATACTTTCTCAGGTGTATCCTCCCTATAGGTCCTTAAAACCAATATTATTTACAGCATTCAGAGAGGCTTTTACAAGATATAGTTTCTGGAAGAGGAAGGAGTTATTCCAGAGAACTTCTGTAACAAATCATTAGCATTGTATTCATGCCATGAGAATACGTATCTAATCTCATTCACTAAGAAACAGTAATCTGGGAAAAAAAAAACAAAAACAAAAAAACCCAAAACAATTATAGAGAAAGCATTTGTTTCAATAATTTGTTGACCTCTTCTTTGGAAATTAACTGCAAGGTGCTTGTTCTTTAATGAACTCTCAAACCAAACACCTATTTAAAGGGAATGCAGCAATAGTAGTACAATTATTATAGACCTACATATCATACATACATAAGTGTATGATTCCTTCAGTTAATTTGCTGCATCTGTGTTAATTATAGCTTCTAATTTCCCCACTACAGACTAGTTTGATTATTGAAAGAATATATAGATATTATTTTGCTTCCTTTCTAGCAACAAACAGATTCAAAAAACCCCCCAGCACAATTACACCGTCGAGGCACAGAAGGCTTTTGGGACACCGATGAACCACGGGCAGAAGACGAGAGAAACAGCATTGACATGAAGGTTTGTGTTTAGTCGTCTTGCTCACGTACAAGTTTTAGGGGTGGGGTTGGGTCACACCATTTCTGTCACAGTACAAATTAAAACTACAGTCACTTTTAACTTGAAATGCAAACAGGAAAGGGCACATGTAAACTGCCAGCATGTGGTATGAAAGGATTTTAAATTAGCTGCAGTAATTCAGATCACAATCTCCTCTTTAGGATTCACTTACATTTCAGAACTAACATATAATAATGCAAGTTTCTTGTAAAGTTTTCTTTCCTCCAGTTTATTGTGCAGTTTGGTCTGCAGTAACTGCACACCCCGTTTCTGAGATTTTGATCACGTCTGAGCACTAATAAGCAAATAGATGGAATAACTTTTTATACCTCTTGCTTATCATCATTTCTATGAATAAAATGAACTTGCAGTGTCCTTGTCCAGAACTTGTCTGTTCAACTCTTGTCTTTTAATGTTTTTATAGTTTAATATTCCCTTTGAAATTGGTGTCAAGGTAACTGAAGAAGAGTATCAAGAATATGGACAAGCACTGGAGAAAATGCTAGGAGACATGCTTGAGGAGAATGCTAAAGGTACTGCCAGCCCAGTTCTAAAAGCAGAGCTGTAAAACAAACAAACAAACAAACAAACAAAAAGCTACCAAACAAAAACACCCACACCACAAAACAGCCAACTTTTGTCATGTGAAACATTCAGAGCAGACTGGGAGTAAGTTACCACTAAGAGAAACACCAAAGTATCTGATGTTCAGAAACTGCTAGTTGAACTTTGAAGAATCACATTTAAGTATGTCAGGCCAAAGAAGAAGGCTTCCTTTCCTTACACTAGCAATTTTTTCTTAACCTTTTTCCCCAAATCCCAGGATTTCCTTGTTTTCTCAGCTAAAAGACCTTCACAATTTTCTCAGTGAAAAGTATTAAAACCATTACTGTAACTAAGATAATTCTAGCAGATTCACTGATAACTAAAGTTCTAACAACCAACTCCCACCACAAGCTGCCTGGTTTTTACTCTTACAGCCTCTCATATTTTATTTGCACTCACCCATGTTAAACTGATCTTTGTGAATCTTCTGGTTTAATGTTTATGACAGTCTTGATATCTGCGTTACACATCCCAGCTACAAATCACTTCATGCTTCTGCTTTCACCCTGCTTTCTGGCTCAAAGCTTCTCCATTTTCCTCTGAAGCGCTCCTTCTACGGCCATGACGCAAAGAAGAGTCTAGTGCTCACGTGCCCTTATAGAACATAACTCTGTGAGAGCCACCTTACCTCTGCCCTCGGCTGGGCGCTTGTGGAACTTTCAGACATATCATCAAAACAGGGTTTTCAGAAAAATATTAAGACTATCAAAATAATCTTTATCTTTTGCCTTTTTAGAGACTCGGATGAAAAACTGAGGCAAGGTGAAGGACGAAGACCGCGCTAGATGGCCTGATTTGTTTTAAATTTTACTTTAAAATGAAATTATTACTGACGTCACAACTCTAAAGAAGTATGTGAGCCTGAACAGTTTGCTCTGACAGCCTTTGGAATGGATTATCTTTTAAGGAGAATACAAGACCTAGAGCCAAAAATAATGAAGGGCGAGGTTAATCACAGGCTGACATGTAGGCTTATTTTCTTATTTTATCTCTTTTCCTTAGTAAATATAGTGATTATTGTAAATCACATGTTTGAAGGCTATATGAATCCTTTCTAAAACTGGTGGAAACCTCCTCACCCTTCTGTGCACATCTATAATAGTGAATAAAGCTTATGCTGAAACTGCAATTACTTGTGGCATTGTTTTTTGTTTGTTTAAGAGAAGCTCAAACTAGATAGTTCGTGTAATAAACTACACAAATTAGATGGACAAGGACTCAACTTCCAGTTGCCAAATTAGCGTAATTGCCAAGGGATTTGTTAACATGGATCTTATCAAGGAAGCCATCTAATATCTCTTCCAGTGAAGAGGAAAAGAGTTAACTAAAAAGTTAACTTGTGTGGATTCAGAACCCCATACCGGGGCAGATATCAGAGGTACAAGGTAATTTTTCATGCCTTCAGATGCATAAACCAGTGTGCTCCAATGCAGTACGTGTTACTTTCTGTACCTCAGCCCATATGGACATCTGAAAATCCATGAACTTCTTCTAGAATTTCCTCCTGAAGATATTCTACAAGGTACTCTAACAGGCTAATCTGATAAATGCAAACACAACTGCAATTGTTATTAGATATGTTCTCTTTTCCTATCACAGAATTAATCACCTAAATGAAGTGCTCCCTTTGATGATGCCACTAGCACTGTCTTGTGCTATCCTCCACCAGAAGGCAAATTAAAATTAGAAGTGAAGGGGGAAGTGGATTAAAAAGGAGTAAACAATTCTTAGAAGACTAGCTGAGGGTAAGGATGTGGACACCTGCTTTGAAACCTGCGGAAGTGTTACAGAGCCAGGAAGAGCACTGAAGTGGCATTTATTGTGCTGAACTCTGATCATCACTGCCACAACAGACCTACTGCTTCTGTTACTTTTATATTTAATGTTTTCCAAGCATATTCCATGGAAACAGTCAGCCAAGAAGCTGCCCAACCGTACAGGGAGAGAACTGTCAGCCAGAGATAATGCATAAATCCTTTCTTAAAATAAGAAGCATTGTTGTTACCTTTGCTGTTTTTAGAATTCTGGCAGAATGGTGCAGGACACAGTGTGCTCACTGAGAAGAAAAAATATGGCTAGGCTAGATCAAAAATTGAGGCACAGGCTATTATGCTGCATTACTTATCCAGCTCATTGAGCAGAACATTCGAAGGTTGTCTTTTAAAAAAAAAAAAAAAGCAACACAAAAAACCCCAACAATGATTCCTGTTGATCTAGAGAAAAACCTTCGGACCTATGAATGTGTGCAGTATTTTCTCCTTTACAAATATCAGCCTCAAGAGGGTAGTATAACCTCATAGTGCACAACCATGGCAAGGACAGAACAGGTCTCAGTGCTTTCTAACCCGCCTAGTAGCAACTGATGCTTATTTCTTTGTGGTTCGTTCTTACTAGTAATTTGAGATAATGTATGAAATATATATATATTTTTTAAATCACATTAGGAAAAGGCAAATGCAGCCACCACGTGACTCAGCTTCAGCTGTAATCAAGCTCCCTAAATTGAAGGGGATGCAGTATTACTTTTGTTTTCCCAAACCCTTAAGAAAAGTAAAAGCTGTCTTCTTCCACTAATTTGAGATGATTATTCAATTGTGAAAAAGAAATAAGGTAACTAATTAAGCAATAATCAACCCAGCTCCTATGCAAAAAGTAAAAAAAAAAAATCTAAACCAAACCCCATAGTAACATCACATCAAAGAAATAACAGTCAAGAGTCCCTCAAAATAAGCAGCTAGTGTTTTACAATTACTTTAAATGTTTAATTATTTCTAGATTAGGGAAGTGGAAAATATCCAGTCACTTCAATTTTAATAGTTCCCCAATCTAAAGAATGATCTAATGCTTTTCTTTTTCTTCTCTTCCTGTCATGGTGCGTCACTAGATTGGGCTTTGCAAAACCAAGAAACTCCTAAACTAAGAAACAGACTAAAACCATTTCATCCTCTTCATCTACATTTTTTCAAAAAGATTCTAATGATTAAGATCCCAAAAATATTTCAACACATCCATTGAACAAAGATGTACTCACCACCCCTTTGTTTGTTGTTGTAGTTCACCCACAAATGCAGACTTTGGAAGAGGCTTTGGTGAATCACAGGCTGTCCTCCAGAACCACTCAGAACACCGACTGGAGAGCTGCAGGTCCTTCACCCGCTTGTGTTTTCTGTCTCTCTGAACACGGACGCCACTGTTGGCCTTCAATTTTTGGAAAGAGACGGATGCTTCCTGACCATTTTTCCTCTGACTCCCCTAATGTGCTCAGGAGCGCCGTCAGGCACGTTACACTGGGTCACTGGTGCTTTCTTGTCTTCTTCCCAAGATCTCCGGTCTGTTGATCTCTCAAGTCACATTTATTTTCTGTTCTTTGCACGATATTTACCTCACCACATTCAGGTTTATTTTCAAGCTAGATAATAAATGAAAGAGTATATCTGTTAGTGACACGTTTAAGCAGTTTTGAACAACTAAACAGATAGTATGTGTGAGGGGAGAAGAACAACCTAAAGGGTGAGAACTTTCCCCCCCTCCCAAGAAAGAGGAAGGTGCTATAGATCTCTACATCCAGTCAGTACGATAACTGGAAACGGAGCAGTCTGATTCACACTTATGCTTACAATAACACACACCAGTGTTTGTCTGTCTGAATGGAAGTGTAAATGACCATCAGACATCATGGGATAGTAAATGAGGTTCAGACATCATTACTGAATTATACAGATAAAAAAGGGTAAATAGTTAGAGAGAATACAATGGGTTTTGGCCAACACAAAACACAGACTTGATGTTAGTTATGGCTTCATAGCCTCACTTATTAAGATAAAAATCTGCCTTTTAGAAAGTCTGAGAGTCTATAGGAAACAACCAACTACAGTAACAAAGAAAAAAACAAAAAAAAGTAGCTCTGCTGTAACAAAGGATTTTACATCAGCTTTATAATTAAAAGCTCAGCACTTTCTCAATCCATGATGTTCATTCTTGCAATTTGTTACAAGAACAGGAAGGCAAGATTTTAAAGACTTCCGCAAAGAAACATTGCTTCATAACTAAAAATAGGAGTGACAGGAGCAACACTAGAAGTCTTTAAAGTGAACAAATGATGTTAGATTTCCCTCCAAGAGTTATTAACTGGTGAAAAAGGAAATGACGACTGAAACCTGAAATCTTCATGTACACGTGCATCTACAGGCTTGTTCTCAACAACAGAACTCAAGACTACAAGATTCCGCTGACAGAAGTTCTGCGGGACTGACTGATGGCAAGCACTGAGGGTACATAATTATGTACATATATATGTTTAAAGACTATGACTAAATCTTTGTGCTTTTAGACACAAGTAACCATTGATAGGGTTTCGCCAAAACTTTAAGAAAAATTTAAAGCATTAGCACTGTTTGCTGGTGGCATGAGGATGTCAGGCAAAACAAAGGCTCTTCCTTTGGTCTTAGCAATTACCAGGGAGAACGTAAGCAGTTCCCTTTTCTACTCCTACAGAAACAACGTTATTCATCATAAGGGAATAAAGAAGAACATGAACCCATTCCCACACTTCACAAGTTATTTTTAAAACCAACACTGGCTGGTACTCTGTCAGAAGTTCTAGAAACATGCCAGGCACACATTTAAACTTCCCTTGTGAAACAGGTTTCCATTGGCCTTCTGCAGCTGTCCCGCTCCAGTCCGGGATATTAGAACTCGGCCAATAAACAGCGTATTGTTATGGGACAGACCTTTGTCACTCCATCCCAACCCAACCCAAGCCCGGAAAAGAATTTAAAAAATAAGAAAAATAGGGGTGCTTTCCTGAAAACGCAGGCGCCTTTCCCCGCAGCGGCAGCGGGATCCCCGCACTCACC